TTTTCTAAAGATTCTGATTAAAAAGTTTGAAATTTGGGTGAAAAATTGCAAAATTTTTATACAAAGTTTAAAATCTGAATTTATATGGTGTTTGTTGTATAGCCAGCTAGGCTTTTATAAAAAAATAATAAACATTAAATAAACAAAAGACAAATAGCCAAAACTGGTCAAAATATCGCACTCCTATTATTTTGTGGACAACTGTATGTATGTACATTAAAATCCAAAAATGCATGTGAAAAAGTAAAGTCGGAATTTTTAAGCTCTCACCCCCTAGAATTCTTCTATACCGAGAAAAAGTATACCCCTATTTTTTTATTTTGAAATCAAAAAAATATTAGAGGTCGCTCAAAGCGCTCAAAGTTTTCCATGTATTCCATGGGGAAAAAACAACTTTTCGTAGATATGGTATGGAATTATTAAAAATCAATATTTTTTGATCGAAAACGTCTGTTACTTTGCAGGAGATTCCCAAAAATCTATATATAATTGCTCAGTCATACGACTTATTTAGCAGTTAGAGAATTAAGTTATTCATCAAATTAAAGTGCAAGCTGCAGTTGCAATTGACCGTATTTTTCATAAAAGTAAAACGTGGCAGAAAAGTCGATAGTATTCTATTGAAAAATATTAACCAATTTTCCATGGAATTGTGATTCGGATTCGTATTATTTAAAGTTTTAAAAATAAAAATAGCTGTGATCACTTTCTTTTTTAAAGGACCCTAAATGACGGTAAAACTCAAAACTTGAAACTTGATTTTTGAAATGAACGATCCAAATTAACCGGTAAGCATATTTATGTATTTTAAAATTTTTTAAATCAGTGGTTGAATTTTTGTACTGAAAGGGTTAAGAAAGCTTTAGTGTAAAAGCTTGATACTAAACGCCTTTCACCATGTAACGGCGCCAATTTTAAGTGATTATTGCGTTTCAGACTCCGACTAATAAAGCCCTTGGACGAATATTGTGAAAGGTTCATAGGGGGTGAGAGCATTACAATTCCAACGTTACTGTTTTTCGACCAGAGTTCTCTCTCATCTAAAGTAGAGGGTTAAAAGCCGATTAGAGAAATTATCGAGAATTATAGCATTCTCTACAAAAATGGAACTTACATAGTTCTCGATATAGAGAAAGAGGTTCGACATCTAATCGTATTCTAATGTTGAATTCGAACCGCGAGGTAGTGGGATAATTTCATTTTAATCTTTCTATATAGAAGAGAAGCTGCTAAAAGTTTGCAATCGATATACTCTATGTTGACGCATGCTTCCGTGTTCGCTTCGGCCAAGAGAAGGCTCATAGCTAGGTTTAAAGGGAGTTGCCACACGCATACAAACTTAAATTAAATTCAATTAATAGGAATGATCAAATATCGCAATAATAATAATAATAATAATAATAATAATAATAACCTCAACGGTTTCACCCTCCTTTCCCGCTCATCCGCAGTCAATCATTTATTGAGAGAGGATAGTATCGCTTCCTTAATGCGAATCACATATATCATAGGAGTATCAAATGGTTAGAAAATTCTTTTTGAAGAACGCTGCCACCTGTTTTAATATTTAAATTCAAATAATTAAATAAAATTTATTTTTAAAACTGGTGGCACTTTAGAAGGCTTCATTAAATTTAGTAAAAGGTTAACTGAAATCTATATACATACTATATGAAATAAAAATGCTTAAAGTTTGAAATCGATGGAATCTATGTATGTACCATTCTGTACCCTTAAATTTACATATTTAGTTAATTTTGTCTTATTTGTTAATATTTATCATGAGATCAGTTTTCTCCAATTTCAAATTTATCTCCAAAAATTTATTTTCTTTAGAGCGTTCTCCATAAGTCCTCTTACAACTTGAAAACTTTGACCTTGATTCCCAGGGTTTGCTAGTAATTTGATTGGTAATATTTCATAAATGCTTGGTTACTCAAAGAGAGAAAATCTTAAAATAGCGAATTTGGCCTTTTCTCCTCCAGAAGCTAGCGGCCACGATTTCGTTGATCCTACACCCTGGGGAATGTATATTCAGAAGTTTGTTTGACGACTCTATGCCCGAATCGGTCCAGGATCATTTACCTGTTGATATATGTTGGTTGAGGTAATGATTTCTCAAGGATCCTGCGCCGCCTGGCTCAGTCGTTCGTATACTCGATGGATTCGCAAAACTTTCTCCACGAAGCCTTCTTGGCTTCTAGAAGGTCCTTTTATAATTCTTTAAGGTTGCCTTGTTCTGGTATCATCCCTTACTTCTGTAACATTCGTTACATTACTTCCTTACCTGCTTCCAAAGCTTTGGTAGTTTTTCGTTCCACCAAGGTGTGTAAGCTTTTTTCTCGTATCTTAGCGGGCATGCTTTCATTAAAGACCTTCCAAACGCCCTATTAAAACAGCCGCCTTGGAGTCAAGTTTGCGTTCATTGAAGAAGTCTTCATTCGATATTCTATTAAATTTTTTGAAAATAAGTTTTTTTTAGAATAAGTCCCAGTTTGTATTCCAAAGGACTCCTGAAGGTAGTAGGCATTCCCGCTGCCATGCTCAACTCAATTATTATATTCAGAGAACTAAAGTTGGAGCATAAAAAGGCTTGAATATGTTTTTTGACTAATTTACAGGCTCGTAGTTTACCTGTAAGGCTGCTGAAAAGAGGTTGTAAAGGACACCACTGAGCCCCTAACCTACAGATCCCTTAACCAACCGCTCTCTTACCCAAGATTTTTGTATCAATGAGATCTGTTTTTACCCCATAAAACATAGAACCCCCTGTTAGTATAAAAAACAAAATCAATGCTACACCGAGCTACCCCCATCAAATGGATCCACCTATAAAAAATCTCCAAAGCTGAAGTAAAAACAACTAAAACATTAAAAATCTTAAGCCAAATAAAGTTCCTGGCTATGATCTAATTGTTGTTAATTTATTGAAATAGCTACATCAGGCGGGCATTACCAACTTACTTGTTTAATGCTGTCATCAGAATAGGCTTTGTACCTAAATACTCAGTGGAAAGTGTCACGAGTGAAAATGATTCTCAAATCAGTCGAATCATATCAACCCATTAGCTTACTACCAATCACTTCCAAAATAATGGAAGTGCTCTTTCTAAAAAGGTTCTATCCAATTATAGAAGAACGAAAGCTTATACCACACCATCAATTTGGACTTACGAAAATCCACAGCTCTATCGAACAAGTACCCAGACTTGTTGAGAAAATATTCTGAGCATTTGAGAAAAACAAATACTGCCCGGTTGCATTTCTAGATATCTAACAAGCGTTCGATCGAGGCACGTTGGCTTACTCTATAAAATAAAAACTGCGCTCCCTATCAACTACTATGTATTTCTGCTGTCATACCTGAAGAATCGTATTTTTTTTGTTAAACAGCGTACGGAACATTCTGAACGTTACGAAAGCACGGCAGGTGTACCATACGGCAGCGTCATGGGCCCCATACTATACCTACTCTACACATAGACCTACCCGTAATTGAAGAAGCCACCATTGGTACTGTTGCTGATGACACTGCTATCTTAGCATTTGACGACTCCCCACAGTTGGCTTCCCGAAAACTCCAAAAAGGCCTAAATAAAATAACTCAGTCGCTAAAAAAACTGGCGAATGAAGTGTAAAAGCATGTTCACATTACCGTAATTTACGGTTCATTTGTAATTTATAAGCAAATCATGCTGACATCATGTAATTTTGCCTGGTAAAATCTGTCAATAAATTAAATGTAAATGAGATAATTTATTCTAAATCAATCGCCAAATCAAGAAAAAAAAGTTAGTTCATTTATTTTGGCCCCCACTGTTTTATGAATTTGAAAAAATGCCTAAAGGTATGCAACCATTTTTTTTATCAAGTATCAACCACACACTTATACGTACACGTGTTGTGCTAATCACCCATGATTCAATAATAAAAGGCATCGTCAGTGTTGGCATTTTTGGTATAATTGTACTTTTTTGATACGATTTCGATTACAATATACTTTCCTACTACGCAGTACTTTTTAGTAAAATTTTGTGAGGAATACTATAAATATATAGCTCGAAATTTTTACGAAAGTTTGTTGGTTTTTTTAATGTTGCGCAAAGATTGAACCTTGGATTTATATGGGGTTTGTTAAAGTATAAAAAGGAATTTTATAAGCAAATAATTAAAATTTAATAATTTTAAGATAAATGGCCAACCATGTCAACATATGCGTGTCGTAAAGTTTTGATAAGCACTTGATATACTATTAAAATGTCAAGTGTTAGTACTGAATTCAAAAAAGATGTATTTTTTATCCTTGCATAATAACTCAAAAAAATTTGTTACGAAGTGTACCTTAAAATGTGTGCATACACATTTATTTTAAAAGTGTAAAATATGTAAATGTACCTACTCATAATCATTGGTCTTGAAGGAAATCTATGCACGCTTGTACTAAGAAAATATATAAGCAAATTAAAAAGTCGATACAATTTACAGTCGAACAGTACAGGTTTTGTATATATTTCGTACTGAAG